TTTTCGGTCCGAACCGACAGCAAACAAGAATAACTGAACTCAGCCAAATGCTTCTTCTTGCACATGCATGAGCGTGATCATACATTTAATTATGAGCATGTTTAAAATAAAAACGTTTCTATTGGAAGTGAAGCTTTTCATTTTTGATTTAAGTATTGAAAGTTGTAAACTCATGACATTTTTAAAACAAATATGTGCGTATTAAAATTCAAAACGCAGCATTCTTAAATCAAATATGAAACATTTTAAAATCTAAGATGCATTTTTATTCTAAAAATCAAATTTTAAATTTAAAAATATTTTACTTTGTTTTAAAATTTTTCATTTTTAAAATGAAAATGGCCTCATTTAAAACGTGCATAAGAAAAATAAAAATTTTATTTTTATTTTTAAAATGCCATTTTTCTCTGAGTGTAGGGGGGTGCTAATCGCAATGCGATTGAACACCTACGACTCGACGCTTTGGGATGTCGCGTGTGTTCAAGTGGATCACCCCCATCAAAGACACCCCAAAACGGTGCAACAACTACTCACTTGCAAGTTTTTACTAGTTTTGTGTTCAATAACTTTTTCTGCTAGTTTTCTCTTTTTCTTAATTTCACGTTCTATTTTGCTCAATTTCTTTATTAAAAAAGCATTAATAAATTATTGCATATTTGAGATTGCAATTAAAATGTTTGATTGAATCAGTGATTTGATTGCAATCACAATCATTGCAATGAAATGTGCTTACAATTAAATTGATTATAGTTTTTACAATCAGAAAAATGCAATAAATTTTGATTGTAATCCTATTAGTAGCACCATCATTGATTGCTAAAAAATTGATTGCAAATTTTTACAGCTCTGCTTTTGGAAGGCTCTATCTCACATTTATTGCTAAATGTTACGTTAAGTTAGAATGTGGTGGAAATACCTTCATCCTGGTAGCGCATGGAGACATACTCAGGCCTTAGGAGAACCGTTGTGATACATTTTAATTGGTAAAGTGATACTTATGCATAGAACCAGTTAGTTAGTCTAAAGAAGCGTTGCAGTTCGCAGTATTTCTTCGAGCTTAGCTCCGACAGACAGTTGATAAAGTAGGTACTGCTGGAAACACCACAGCTTAAGTCCATCCAGACTTCCGCTGGCGTGTTCCCATGAGGCAGTGGTTTGCAGTAGTTCTTATTACCACACCGAGCTTTCGAGCTTGATATGTCGTGCTACCCCACACGTTAGTTCAGCATACCATCTTTTATTGGCCAACTCAAAGAAATTTGTCCTAATCCAGCGATTGCACGATGCCACCGATACACTCGCTTCGGGAGTCCTTGCAAGTTCGTCCGGTTCTCAGTTACACAAATGGTCTTAGAATATAGCTAAATTCTATTGCTAGTTTTTACGAGATATGAGTTGACCAGCCACCGGGCCTAAGATACCAGTATAAATTTTCACTGAATAATAAAGCCACAATACATACAATTGAATACAAGGATGGCTGAACTGAGCAAAATTTAGGGTACCAGTAAACGTAGCTTTCATTTTTTGAGTGAAAAATGGACTCCAAAATTTATTGATAAAAAGTATTTTATTTAATTAATTTCATAAAATTGTTCAGTGCCTGCGAAAATTGTCTAAAAAAATTTAACACGGAAGGCCTATCGCTTAAGAACACCAAAAGCAAGAGTTTGAAGAAGGCGATTTTGTAGCTTATTTTGTCACCTTGATACATGTACATATGTATGTATGCTTTTGTTCAAAATATTTTCTTACTTCTTTCTTTTTCGAATTTAATCAAGTGTTGCTGAATTTCTAAAAATTATGTCAAAGAACCCAATCGCCCACATGTCAAGCGTTTGCAAACTTTAATCCAATAAAAATGATAGAATAGGGCAATCATAAAGCACTTGAGTAAATTTAAACTACATACAGATGCACATTTATTTATTTATGTACATATGAAGTACTTATATGTGCTTAAGTGCCACATAAGCATACTTGTACATGTATCAGTGGCTTACAAACACAAACATTTCGTTGTCATAATGAGGAAATGTTAAAAAAAAATCATTAAAAAATATACAAATCGCCCATTTGCTAGAAGAAGAACATAACTAAGAAAAAATAGAACTATGAGAAAAACTACTTTGAAGTCCCTAAGCTTTTGGAACATTTTTTTCGCGTCGGGTTTTAGATTGGTGCGTTGGCACAAAAATTTAAACGAAATGAACTGAATCTCAAAATATATTCATATCGCTTATTTACTTCAATAGTGACATAACTCAAAAACCGAAAACTAGTGAAAAACCGGATTTAAAGTTTTGAATTTACATATACAGCCATAGTAAAAATGAATACATATTTTGTTCTACTGAGACACTAGTAATCGATACAGCTATGAAATTTTACACAACATCGAAGAAGAGGTAACGCTAATTTCTGCATACTTAGCTCAATATTTTCATTTTTTCGGATTATGACATTTTTGAAGTAAATAAGCCGAATTTATGTACATTAGACCGTACCACCTTACAAGCAAACAAACAAAAGTTCGGCGTAAACTTCTGAGTCTTAAGTATTTATGTAAGGCGATTTCTTAAAGAAATAATCATTTTTTTGGCTGTACGTATGGGTCGCCGTTTTGCATTTTTCGGTGACACCAACATTCGGCAACAAAAAATAAAATAAATTAAATAGTAGGTATACTTAAATAATCAAAATATGTACATTCTTAGCCAAAGTTTAATGAGACTTTTAAACAGAAAACATTGTTTACTCGAGACAAAAACTATTGTATATCTATATAGTATATACAAATGTATATAAAATAATAACCGTTTTCGTTGTTCGGACTTAAATCAAACTACTGGATAGAATTCAGTCAAATTTTCAGAGATTATACGTTGCATATATGGTCCTATTATACTACTAGAAAACTCGCTAGGTGGCGCTAGGGTCGAGGTATTTATAAAAGTCGTATATATGAACCCATTTCGTTCAAATTCATAAAGTGTGCTGACTCCATGATGAAAAACACGTATGCGAAAAATAGAACCGCAATGGATGGCTCCATTTGAATGATATTCAAGAGATCACACGACTCATTTAACCGATCATCTGTGCTCTTGAGTTTCCTTATAAGGACTTTTATTCTCTTACATGGTACATCGGACCAATGCTGAAGTTGCAAGATCATAGAAGAATATTACGCACGCTTGGCAGGGATCTCACTGGTGGAAATAAGACCATCGGTAAAACTCATGACATCGAAAGGGATTAATATTCCATATGGTATTACAGCGCGCGGTACTAGTATTGGCCTGTGTAAGAGGAGGATTCTGTTCTTAAGTCGTTTCAATTTAAACTAAAAATGTTTACTTTATAGGCCGCTTTTGCTTTTAAATGCTATTTTTGTATTGGCCAATGCAAAAGATCTTATTAGGCGGGGCGAAGCAAGCGGGTATTGTTTAGTCATACTTGTAGATCCGGCTGTAAATGCCAAAGATATGATGAAAATCTCTCCGTTTGACAAAAAAAAAAATAAAAATTTGCTTCGAGATTGCCTTGCAAAAATAGTTTAGACTCAGGGGTGTACGGCGAAATTTTTTTCTGGCACGGTCTAATGTGTACGTATGTATTTATACATTTTATATTTGTGAGACGTGCACATTTATGTAAACAATCTCCATATCAACGCTAAAGTAATTATGTCAGCAAAAATGTTTTAAAATTCAAAAATGTTGATGACTGCTAAGTAAAATTCGATTATCACTTTTGCTACCATTTTTTTACCGCTATAAAACGTGTGCAAATTGATATTTAACACATAAATATATACATGCATACATATGTATTTATGCAGGAAGGAATGGGGGTGAGTAAAGGCACAGAGAGCTGCTACGGCAAAATAGAATATAGAATATAGAGAATAGCTGTTACGGCAAAATTCATCGAATAGAGGGGCAATACTCGTGGCTGTAGTATATGGTTAAGCTGTAGCTTAGGAACAAGCATTGCATTGATATACAAAAAATTCTGATGAGAAAGTAATTTGCATTGGCAGCTGAACTGTTGGCAAGAAAAATCAATAAAACGACAATCAACTACACACACACACACACACACATACATACATTTGTTTACAAACTTCACACATGAAAAAGGCAAAAAAAGTTAGTTCTTCTACTGAAAATCGCAAAGGGAACCTCATAAATGTAATGGAAAAACACTTGTTTGTATGGTTGCATGTGGGTATGTATGTTTATAAGTACTTATGTATGTATGTCGTACATATATGCCGGCCGGCCGACTCTTATCGCGCACCTATGGGTCCCAAGTCGATTAAACTGTTTCAAGCCATATACACTGCATATAGTACTGTCGCTTGTGTATCGATTAAGCTCAAGTGCCAATGCAAATGTATGCACTTAGTAAATTCTCAAACGTTTTTTTCACATCACTTATTTTGCCAGCACTGAAGTCACTGATGGCTGCCACATGCACGTCAACATTGTTATTACGACGTTGTAAACATACCTATAAATGTATGCACATATGTACATGCGTATACATATATGTAACCAGATGTGTTTGTACCAAAGTGCAATTGTTTCTACATATGTCACATACATCTGCACAACCACTTGACTTGCTTGCGTTCTTACATTTTTACCTACATACTATACATGTAGCATGTATGCATGTATGTACATATGTATGTATGTATGTACTTAAGTGTGCAAATGATTTATGGGTCACTCACCTCACATCCGGATGTGCATCCAACATGGCGCGCATCAGCGTCGTTCCTGATCTGGGAACACCGCCAATAAATATTAGTGGCATTTCGCGGCCATATGAATAAGTTTTTTGATCTTCGGCCATAAGATATTTCTAAAATAGAAGCAAAGATATAAGAAAGTAATTAAAAAGTCTACTACAAGTGAAGCTTATATAAAAATTTATTGGAAATAGCTATTTTTAACTGACTTCAAAATATGGAAGAAGGTTATCAATTCATCGGAATATATGTACAGTGGTCGAACAAATTATAGGCGCACCACATTTTGAATAGTTTTAACATGTCGTTTTCTTTTTTTTTTTGTTATTTGATTTTGGTTTGTACTTTTGTGCAATATTTGAAAAAAATTCAACAAACTTTCGTAAAAATCTCAAGATTTTTTAATTAGATTTCCTAGCAAGATTTTGAGTACGCAGTTTGACAGCTCATTGAATTCTAATAGAATAAAGTACAAGTTTCAAATAGGCTTTTATTGTTTCATCCGGTTACATATGGAAGAAAACCATAACGTCTTCGATAAGTTTATTTATTTTTAATAACTTTCATTTAAAATATAGTTCGACTGCTAAGTGGAAGATCGACCTATCCCGGCTACCAGTTCGAAAACGCTCTATCTCAAAAAACTATCCCTATTTCAGAATTTCATTGAAAAACACTCTATCTCAGAACTTGGTTGAAGAGCGTTCCTCTATTTCAGAATTCGATTCAAAAATGCCCTATCTCACTTCAAAATGTATTGAAAATGTGCTGATATAGGGCGTTTTTGAATCGGCAGCTAAGATAGAGCGTCTTTGAAACGAATTCGGAAATAGGGCGTTCTTCAACCAAATTCTTAAATAGGACGTTTTTGAAAAGTTTTTTGAGATAGGGCGTTTTCGAACTGGCTGCCGAGATAGGTCGATCTTCCACTAAGCAGTCGATATGTAAATAAAAGTTGTAAAGCTTGGACAAAGTTCACATAAATTTAAAAAAAATAGAATAATAAAGTTTGAAATTTTAAACTTTTTATTAAGAATTTTTAGAAAATTTTCGAGCAGACTATTCAATTTCAGTACCGTTGATATTTTAGATTTTTTTTGTAGAGTACGTTGCAAAATATATTTTTCATACCTTTTAACCTTTTTTTAAAATTAGACTTTTTCTAAAAAAAATTGTAGTAGCGATTTTTTGATGCAGCTTGCCTCTATTTGACAGAAGAACATACATACATAGATCCACCTTCTTGCCCCTGAATTTCATATGGCAACATTCCGCCATCTTGAATTTTAGTTTTTTTTTGGGGGTTTTTTGCTATTTCCAAGGTTGTTTTGCATTTTTCCTAAAAAAAATTCGTTAGATACAAATTTGTAGAAAATGTAATTTCCCACATTTTTTACTTAGAATTCAATATGAAATGTGGGCAAAAATTGAATTATGGACGCAATTTAATTCGCTTCTTAGTAAAATTGAGGACGCTAAATTCAAAAATGAAATTTGTTTTTTGATAACTTTCATATTTTCACTGTAAATGCAGTTTGAAGTTGAAAATTTGGGTTCTTGTGGTATCTTGTGAAGTGTCAAATGACAGGGCTTGGCCTGTAGGGTTTCCACCTGTCACCAATTTTATTAAAATTATTTAATAAGTTAAATCAATTAGAATTACAATATTGGTATCAATTGAAATGGTTTGAAAACGCTTTACTTTTAAACGACACGTAGAATGATTGCCACACTTAAAAAAATCAGATTCACTTTAATTAAGGTAATAAGCTCACTGAAATATGTATATCAATATGGATATCAGACAAAAGAACAAACAGGACATATTTAGCAAGAAATAAGTGAAGAGTAAAACCATTCCTGAGTTAAATTAAGACTCCAGTAATTTAAAGGAATGTGATCAGAACAAATCACTGATTGACAAGGTATGTATTTGTAATAAAATAACAAGAACGATGCCTTAAACCTTTGGTTTGACACAATAATTATTTTAGTTTAACTAAAATTTGACTTTACAAACAGGTGGCAACCCTCTTCGTAATATTTGCAAGCTAAAACCTTCTTAAACCTCTTTCGTCTGACTCCCATATGGTGATACCTATCTATTTTAATTACCCAAATCCTTTAATTTAAATGGAATTTGATTTTTTAAACAGGTGGTAACTCTCTACATGTATTTAAGAAACAACCCCTTTTTATACGCATTTCGATTGATACCCATCTCTTAATAATTCATTTAACGTACTAAAAAATTTGAATTTAATAACAGGTGGCAACTCTTAAAAAACCCCCTATTGTCTACAGGTAAAGCTTTTTAATCTGGCACTTCATTTTTGAAAATAGAACGAATCGTGCAGAGCTGATGGCACTGACAAAAAATGAGAAAATGATTTTATGCATTAGCAAAAAACCCACTACTTAAAAAAATGCAAAAAGTTAGCAGGTTTTTATTTCTTCTTTCGAAGGCTAAAAGCACGTACTATTTAATAAAATAATAAAAAATAACATAACTTTACATATATTTTTATTCTTTCCATTAAAATTTACCATTTTTTGAACTTTTGATCTTTTTTTTTTCTGGAATACCGCAGGGACACCATGTGTTTAATTTTATTCCACAATTTTTTATCCTGTAGCTCTCTACTATCTATATGGAAATAAATAACGTCAAACCAACATTTTATTTCAAAGAATGTATTTTTGACATTTGTTTCGGTGAAGAGCTTACGCTCTTATTAATATTCTTAGTATAAAATTTGTCGACTTTAGTGGCTTCCTGGCGGCATATAATTTATTTCAAAGGGAAACTTCTATTTAACCTTTTTAGTGGTTAAATTACCTTTACAAAAATACCAAACACGCTAACATTGCTGACAACGAATTTTTCGATTTTTGCCCACTAAGGCGACACTGTGCGACGCCTAGATCACGACCGGGAACGTGCCAAACATAGCGATGTAAGGAAAGCGGCGTAAAATTCATTTCCGTTTCACGTCAGCCGGCCCAGTACGACGGTCAAAATTCTATAGGACGGATTACAAAGATTAGGGTCTTGAAATGATCGCATAGACTTCCCGAATTCCCTTTTGAAAAATTCAACACGGCGTCTCAAATATGGCGTCTAAACTAACCGTAAATTAGATTTTGCTTTACAACTTTTGTGCCGCTGGAGAATCCAGCAATAAAAAAGAAAATTAACAACAGGTTCTTATATTTTTGAGGTTGCTGATTACCTACCTATAGCATGATTTTAAAATTTCATGATAGCGAATCCAAGATGGCGTTTTTCCGGGGCGTTTTTCCGGGGCGTTTTTCCGGGGTTTTCCTCTGGGGTTCTTGGGGCTGCTGAGTACGAATCTGTTGTCAGGTTTGAAAAATTCAATTTGGCGGACCAAATATGGCGGTAAGAAAAATAATTCGTTTGGATTCGCTTAAAATTTTACAATTAAGGGTTCTTAAGGTCTCTGATTCCGAATCTAAAATCAGATCAGATTCTAACTAACATGTTACTCATACGCCAGGTACGTACGCTCGATTTCAATTTTTTCCTTGATAAATGGCCATTTAAAATTTGTTTAATACAGTGCAAGTTTGAAGTAGCTAGGACTTACCGTTGATTTTTGACAATTTTCTGTTCGCACAAATGAGCAATACTTTCCACAAAAAAAATTTGCACTTATTATACTAAATTTAATGGCCTACAAAACTGCATACTTCGAATGTTTCTAAGAAATCTAGTTAAAAAGCTCAAACTTTTGATTAAACTTCGTCGAAACTTGCTAATTTTTGTACAAAGTTTAAAATTTACATGGTTTTTGTTAGCTAATGAGCTACACTTTCATAAAAAAATAATAAACATCAAACAATCGAAAGCGAAACACCCAAAGAATCAGCGTTGCCATTTGAGAATATTTTTAGGTACCAAAAAGCCTACCAAAGCAGTCTGTAAACTACCAAAAAAATTTTTATCATTAAAACGAGATTTTATTAAATTTACGGGTTTTTAGCTACACATATTAACAGAAGGTATAAATTGAAATACCAAATAATATTGTTTACAGTGCTACAGTTTGTTATCCACTCATGCAATACTTAAAGTTTATACAAAATAAATTCGGGCGTTTAAATAAATAAATTCACGTGTCGTATAAAAAATATTTATAAATATATAGTTTTGATATTAATTCAATTCATATCGAACATTTTTTTTGTATGAAACATCCAATTCAGACATTTTATGCGTTTAAATAAAAGTATGAATAATATTGAACACAAAACGTTTGTAAAAAAACGTACGAGTATACATATCTTTGAGATCAATTCAATTAATTTCAAATGTTTTTTTTTGTCTTCGACAAAACAATTTCAGGCATTTCATGCGTTTAAATTAAAGTTTTGACATATATGTAAGAATCACAATACGTGTTAGGAGTTGTAAAATCTTAAGTTTTAAACTTTCTGGAAGTTAAATAACAATTAAAATGGTTCCAGGGGATCCCCTAATTGTATACAAAACGTTTTTTCGTTCGGCAGCCGCAGAGCTGTGTGGAAGTGTCTTTAAATTAAACACAAAACGTATTCAAACCATTTTAAAATTACTAACAGTATTCCAAAATGATATGATATTCATATCTTGTTTTAAATTATTATCACTCGAGCTAAGTAACTTCCATTGAGTTATCACTTTATCGGGATCGCAGTCCACTAAATTTTAAATTTTAAAATTAAAGGTAATATTTCTATATTCTCTTCCAAAAGAATATTACTTGGTGTTATATTTAATTTTTAAAAGCTGCAAATCTTCCCTTCCAAAATCAAATCTCGCTTTGATTGGGTCCAAAAGTTCAATGTAGAACTCAAGAATGTTGGTTTTTATCTCAATTATTTCATTAACGCTTAAGTTACTTTGAACACACTCCTCAGAGTTTGTTCCATGAACACACTCCTCAGAGTTTGTTCCAATAAAAATTTTTGATACGTTTATATTATTACTTTTGTCTCTGTAATTAATAGATATATCGTTTAACTTTTTGGTCAACGAAATTACTTAAAATTAGAAGGAAGTTAGATTTAATATTAGAGTATAAGTATGGCAACCGATAACTCTCGGACTGAAATTCCTTATTCAAATTATTAATGAGTTAAAGGGAGTATATAAGACAAAAACAAAAATTAGGCTTTAATTTTTGAGTTCGCAATGAACTGCTAGCTCTGCGCAAACCAAGTGTTTGACATTTATCATCTTTCTTTCACTATTTCTCTTGTCATTATTTCCTTTGCTTGCTATGAATACAGGGTTACCATAAACAGTAGATAGCACTGGCAGTATGTAATCTTAAGCAACAAATTGTAATGCTCAATTTGGTTGCAATTTCACTTTTGCCTACCAAAAGCTTCATCCTACCAACCAAACTACCAAAGGAAAATGAGCATACCAATTTTGGTCCGATTGGACCAAAACGGCAACGCTGCAAAGAATGCCAAAATATCTCTTCCCTATATATATTTTCGCCACTTTATGCACCACCGAAAGCGGGTTATATAGTACACACCTTAATTAGCTCCGTTAGTTTTGTTTGCATCTGCAATTCAACTTTTCAACCACTCAACTAAAATACTTTAATTTTTTTAGACAAAATTTTATTATGCCTTTGTAGGCGAATAATAAAATGCAAGTTTGAAGCTGCTAAAAAAACCCTAGAGTTTTGATTTTTTTTCGCTCTCGGTGTTGTGCACTTCTTCGTTATAAAAAAATATGTGACACTGTCAGCAAAAAAACCACAAAAATCAGGGGAATTTTTTATCAACTTTAAACTTGCACTTTATTATACTAAACATTAATAGGCTACAAACTTGCATATTAACTGCCGGTTTCACGAAGGTAATTTAAGTGAAAAATGATTTTTTCCTGTCAGTTTCCATATTAAATTCAAATAAAAGTTGAAAAGTTAAGAAAATATATTATCATGTTTTTTGTTGTGTTATGAACTATTTACATATACATATTTTTTTTAATTAACGAAAATAGATTAAATAAAAGCTTTGCATACATTGGGAAAAATGCACCGTGTCTGGAATTTTGTGGTTTACTGTATTACACACATACATTAGGGTGGTCCAAAATAATTAAAGTAGGAATTTGAATGCTCTCATCCCCTAGGATTGTTCTATATCGAAAAAATTATACCACTGTTTTTTTTTTGGAATCAAAAGATATTTAGAGGCCGCTAAAAGCGCTCAAAATTGTCCGCGTATTTTATATGAAAAAAACAGCTTTTCGCAGAAATAGTATAAAATTCTTGAAAATCAATATTTTACAATAGGAAAATTTTGTTTCTCTTCAGAAGACGTTCAGTAATAATACCCAATATTTTCTTTAACCAATTTTAAATATCAACTATTTTTCATAGGTCCCCTAAAAGCCGCAAAAAATGCAAAGGGGCCCATAAAAAATCGGTAGTATTAAAAAATGGCAAAATAAGCAATTGGGTATTTTTACTGGAAGTCTCCTGAGGAGAAACAGAGTTCTCCGATCGAAAAATATGGATTTTCAAATTCTATACCATTTCCACGAAAAATGTTTTTTTCATATAAAATACATGGAAAACTTTGAGCGCTTTGAGCGACCTCTAAATATTTTTTGATTTCGAAATAAAAAACACAGGTGTATATTTTTTGATTTAGAACAATCCTAGGGGGTGAGAGCATCAAAATTCCGACATTACTTTTTCCACATGCATTGTTGGACCACCCTAATGTACACATACATATATATATATGAACTAATATCTTTATAAGCAGGTAAGAAATATAATTGCATATATGTATGGAAAATTGCTTCGAGCAGCTCAGATACCCGTCTCTTACCTCTTCGTGCACCATCAGCGATCCATCCGGCGCCGTGACGTCGTTCTTGAAGAAACAAGTTGGCGCGAATTCGGTGAATTTGAAGAGGAACATAGTGACAACGACGACGGCGAGCATCACCCACAGCGTCGCTTTTTTGTTGCGATATTGTAGACGCATTTTGAGGAAAATTGTCGTTGCTGTTACGTACTGCACACTAAATACGCACACAAGCAAGTACACAATTACTGAGACTACAAACACACGTGCATAGGTAGGCGACAACACGGACTTCCTTGTACGCTAACGCAAACGACTTAAACACTACTATAACTGTAACTGGCGTTGCAGCAATGTGCACTTGTAACCGACGACGGATATGTTACAAATCTATTTACGTATGCAAGTACATATGTAGTTATGTATTTTTAAGTACAGTTATGTCTTTAGGTGCGTATTTACAAAGTTATGAATTTGAAGTGCAGCGAAAAAGCGCTGAAAACACTGCAAAGCTTCAAAGGACTTGGTAGCCAGGTTTTTTTTTTTGTTTTTGCTTTAACTTTTTTTTGTAGAGTGTGTATTTTTTATGATTGTGCGTTTAACTTTATGTTTTTGTACGTGGTTCGTTGCTACCCAGCTATTGGCTTTTTGCTGGATATATTTTTATATATTTATCTACAAGTTGACTTTTCTCACACTCTTGCACCTCGGTGACTTTGGCGTAAAAACGATATGCACAAACTTGCCAACGAATGATGACATGTATTAATATTTCATTTAAAGCTGCACGAGATTTGGAATTTGCGCTCGCTTATAGCTGCACTATTGGATACTTCAGTTACAGTTACGGCTATATGTAATATTATTTGGACGCAGCACAGATAACTCGGGTAATGATTATGACGACGACAACGACGACGTCGCTGATGAGGCGGAGGCTAAGGCTGAGGGCGACGACAACGTCACAGAGGAAGGCAACGATGTTGACGGCGTGTGCGTGGATGTGGATGTGGATGTGGAGGAGGAGGAGGAGGGTGTGGTTGGGGTTGACTTGAGTGCGACTCTTGATTTTACTTCGTCTTATTTTTGTTGCTGTTGTTGCTGCTGTTGTTCTTGTAGTAGTTGTTAGTGTCCTTTTAACGCCCGCTATGCATGCTTTACACTGTTGCAGTTGACTGCTGCTGCTGTTCTTCAACAACATTTTAAGTTTAAAAACGCGCACTCATATTTCTTCATTTGTATGCCAAAAGCATATGAAAAGTAAGTAAATGTAAGAAAGCAAAGAAAATCAAGAAACGAAACACACACACCCAGTTTGCGGCGGAGAGCTGGGTTTCAATGCGGCCACAACGAAGATG